ATGTCTTAGAGCATCATCTAGAATCAGAAAAATGTTGAATGGGACGCTGCTTTGCCCACAGTAGCTCTGGCTTGTGGAATAAAACAGTTCAGAAACCAATCTTCAAACAAAGCTGATGCCATCCAGATTTTCTTATTATGGTGGTAGAAAACAGGAAGTGTATGCTTGCTCACATTCTTGAATTTTCTAGGATTCTCCAAAAAGCAGATCAGACAAGGTTTTAATTTGAACCCTGAAACATTTCCTCTCAAAGGCAGAGTTACATGGTCTCTGAATCCCAGTATTATCTTGAACTCTTGATGAACATATGCACACTCTGGCATCCGCTTTCAGAACAAATCTGTTTCATCAACATTAAATATCTGTTCCGGTATTTCTGATTCACAATGCAACTCTTCCTTAAAAAGCTTCAGCACAGCCAGGCGGTGGTGGCACATGCCTTTAATCCCAGCACTTGTGAGGCAGAGGCAGAAGGATCTCTCTGAGTTTGAGACCAGCCTGGTCTACAAGAGCTAGTTCCAAGACAGCCTCCAAAGCCACAGAGAAACCTGTCTCGGGGGAAAAAAAAAACCTTCAGCACACTCAACGCCAACAGCCACTGCCCCACCACTAACCTTAACAGTATGAAAATTATGACGCCTTTTGAAGCACAGGAACCACCCAGGGCTTGCTGTAAACACCTGTGTATACGTAGGGTCAGCATGCTCTTTGAGCATGTTGAAAAGCCTTCTTGGCTAAGCCTGGATCATCAGTAGCAGCTCTCTTCTTAGTGATGGCAGTGAACTTAATGAACGCTGACAGTTTCACTGCCTCACTGATTTGCTTATCCTTCAAGATGGTTCCGACTGTGGACTGGGACAGTGCTGACTCCTGTGAGATGACCACCACTGGCTGGCCACCTTTGTGCTGGGCAGTTATTTTGAATTTTATCTACAGAGTAATCTCCATCCTCTTCTTTACACCAGCAGGATACACAGATGGGCATTTGGCAGACATGATGGGATGCAAAACCAAAATATTGGAAAGCACTGGCAACACAGACACTGCAACATTTTCCCTTGTGACTCTGACACTGACTGGGAGCTATGGCTGGCCACATGCTGTGACCTGCCTTCAAGACATTACATCATCAGGGTAAAGACCAAATGTAACATTTGACAACAGGTTTCTACTGACTGTGCATTGCTTTTGCGGCATTGTAAGTCAAACCACCTTTATATCAAGGGCATTCATAATCAGAAAGTCAGATAATACCAAGCATGGTTAGGAACTCATGTACCTCTATAGAGGACATATGCAGATACCTAGAGAGGCAAAATAGAACACACACATAGTAGCTCAGCAGCTGCAAGTCTAACCAAGGAAGGAAAGCCTAAGTCACACTAGCATGTGTGTGAACATATGCAGAAACACTAAGTCTTTTATTATTATAATCTTAGTTTTTGATTTTTGTTTGTTTTTTTTTTTTAATGGAGTCTCACCAGGTAGCCCTGGCTGGTCTGGAACTCACCAGACTGACTCGATCTCAGAGATCTGCATGCCTCAGCCTCCCAAAGACTGGGATTAATAGTGTGTGCACCTGGCTAGGAGCATTAATCATAAGAGTTGAGCCTGGGAATTTCAGTAAAGCCATCCAATGTCTCAGGTAAATCTATAAACAAATGTGGCTTAACTATGCAATAGAATATTCATTAGCTACATATTCTAATCCTGATGAAAAGCCCTATCCTTGATAAAAATAGACACCAAGACTACATATTGAATGGCTCTATTTTCATTCAATATTTACAAAAGATTACATTCATGTTCACAGCAACAAAAACCAAGCCACTGGTTATATAGAACTAAAGGTGAAAATGAGGGTTAATTTGTAAATGGGCACAAACAAACCTCTTCCCAACTGGGGGGTTGAGACCCCTCTGGAGTCTTGCATATTAGATATCCTGTATATCAGATATTTATTTTATGATTCCTAGCAGTAACAAAATTACAGTCATGAAGTAGTAACAAAATAATTTTATGGTTGGGGGTCATCACAACATGAGGACAGTACCGAAGGGTCACAGCATTAGGAAGGTTGAGAGCCACTGCCTTCGAGTGATAAAAATGTTCTAAAATTGGGTCCTGATAATGGCTGCACAATTCTACAAAGTTAATAATATCACTAAAGGTTTGCAATGGACAAATTTTATGGTATGCACATGTTATACCTCAAATTTTTTATTTAAAAAAATCTAGAAATGTGTTTATATATATATAATTCTCAAATTGCCCACACACACAATTCTTATTCCCAACACATACAAAAGAAAACCTAAATAAATAATTCCCAAGGACTAGAGCACATCCACTATCTTAAATTGCATTTTTATCTGCTTACTGTTCAATTCAGCGACTACTAAACACACAAACACACCTTAGTTAAAGAACACAAATCAGACAGTCCCAGCCGGATAAGTATTTGGAACAGAAAATGGAACCACAGCCTAGTTCAGATTTTTGTTTCCCCTGCACTAAGTGTCGTTTTAATGGCACAAATGATGTGCCTCAGAAGCAAGAAGTTTGATATAGTTCAGCAATGCAAGTCATCAACTACTGCTATGGTGTTAATCACCAGAATCTATCATGTATAATAATGTAATAGAATTTAGAATGGAGTTAATCTTGTTTTCATCTCGCTTATTTTTTCTGAAAGTACACTGTTTTGTCACCTAGAAAATGATTTGAATGTTTTGTTTAAAAAATGTACTTGTCAAAATATTTTTGCACATTTTGATCAAGCAGCCCTCAAATTTGTTCCCTTGCGGTTCAAATACAAATTTGAGATGTTCAGAAACAGCTTTTTTAATTAGCAAAGCAGACACATGGTCTCCAACTTTTGATGGCCCACCTTACAATTTCTCAGCTATGTTATCATGGAAAGGAGACATGCATTCACAACCTGTTGTTCAAATTTTAAGCTTTTCATACATTAGCAATGTATAGGCCAATGATAGCCTGTCTCACAGTGCTAGGCAGTGAGAACCAATCCTAGCTCCCGGTGAGTCACATAATGTAGAGAAACTACCTATTCACTGATGTATACTAGATAGCTATTATTATTGTTGTTGTTGTATTATTAATTTATTATTATTATTATTGGTTTTCGAGACAGGGTTTCTTTGTGTAAACAGCCCTAACTGTCCTGGAACTTGCTCTGTAGACATACACAACATCAGGAAATGTGTTAAAGGGCCATAGCATTAGGAAGGTGGACAACCACTGTTTTTAGAAAGATTTTGCTACTGTGCAGCTGTTTAAGATAGAAACTTACACTTTAGTTGCCATTTCTAATAGCTCAAAATAAGCAAGGGGCTGGGAAATGCTCAGTGGGTAATGCCTATAACCCTTAATGAGGAGACAGAGACAGACAAAGCCCCAGGGGGGTGCTCAATGGCTAGCTGGCTTACATGGGTCAGTGAAAGACCAAGTCTCAAGTTAGTAGAGAATGACAGACCAGACTTAACAGGACAGAGGTCAGCCCCAACCCTACAGCACACACATACAAACACACACAAACAATTAAAAACAAAATAAATTAAGGACAGGAAGTTGACTGGGTACGTGATGACTTGAGTTCAGACTTCAGAACTGACATGGTGGAAGGAGAAAACTGACTCCAAAAAGCATTCTCTAACCTATTTACCTGCCTGCCTGCCTACTTACACACACACACACAGTGGTAAGCACAAAATACAAGTTTAAAAGAGAAGTCAAGACTGTAAGATTTGAAAAATGAACAAAATGAAACAAACAAACAAACAAAAAAGCCAAGGAGAAAAAAGTTATCTTTAAGTCTGAAGATGTGTTATCCAGCAAAAACTGAAGACTTACCCTTAATGCTTTTTAAATGCATCTCTTTTTTTAAAGACATGGTTTCAGGTAGACCTTGGACTCTTCATCCTCCTGCCTCTACCTCCTGAATGCTAGGGTTATTGGTGTGTGACTGCCATCTAGCCAACTTTTATGTGATTAGGACTCAACCTAAGGACTACCTGCAAACTAGACAAAGCACTCTACCAACTAAGTCACACTCCCCTATCCCTTAAAATACATTCCTAAAATGCCTACATGTGTGGCCCATGAGATTGCTCAACAGAAAAAGGTGCCTACTGCCAAGCCCGAGGATCTGGGTTTGGTGCCTGGGACCTATATGGTAGAACAGACTCCTACAAGTTGTCCTCTGACCTCCACACATACATCACTTGCCAACTCCCCCCCACACACACACACATACACTCACAAACACACACAAATGATCACATCTCAACTATCGCCCTTAGGAAAAGTAAGTCACATTGCCTACTACCTTTGAATTCCATCAAACTGTTTCTCATGAAATAGGCCTCCTCTGCATCGTTCTGAAACAATCTCTTACCACATTCTGCCAAGTCAAGGAGAGTTTTAGAGGAAGAAAAAAAAACACAGTCCAATTGTGATAGAACAGAAGCTTTCGAGAGAATAGTCCAGTGATTGCATACAGTAAGTGCCCAATAAATGTTTGAATGTTGAAAATTACCACTGAAGGGGATGAAAAGAGGCTCATTTTCACCTCGATAAACCAAGTAAACAAAGCGAATCCCTTTGCCAAAGCAAAGTTGCATACATTTAAAGTGGGTTTTGATAGTAACACAGTCTCCAGCCTGGCTCGAACTCCCTATGTACCTGAGGATGACCTTGAACTCCTAATTCCTGCCTCCACCTCCCCGGTGCTGGAATTAAGGGACGAAGCACCATACCATGCTTGGTGTGTGTGTGTGTGTGTGTGTGTGTGTGTGTGTGTGTGTGTGTGTGTGTGTGTGTGTAATTTTGTAAAGTTTTAGCAGAGGTTTCTAATATTTCGACTCTTACATACATCTATTGTGAAAACACAATGACAGGCGTCCTCGAAGCCTATAAAACGGCCACGAGACGTGACCTTCCTTGCCAAGTGCACCGTGGGGATCTTGGTAGATACCCACCTCACCAGCCAGTTAAGTGACTTTTCTGTACAAGAACTCTCACGGCAGCTAACACGCACTCTACCGGATGGACGCCTGTTTCCGCAGGCAGATCGCTAGTTTAGTAACCATCCAAAAGAGTTCACTGAGCCCTCAGGGACACGCATCTCCAAAGCGCTGAGGCAGGGTACCCGCACTCCACAGGGCGCGTGCTCAGGATCGCAAGGCCAGGAGCGGCGGGGAGATCGGTGTGACAACTCACGCCCGCTGCTCACCAACCGAGTGTCCCTTGCAGAGGTCCCAGGGCAAGGACACGGGTGCACCCCCAGCCGCCTCAGCACCCCGCCTAGCTTGGCGTGGGAAGCCGAAGAGCCGCCGACTCCCAGAGGCCCGGAGGCTGAGGGCCGCCCGACACTCACCGCCGCTTAGCCCCCACGGGAAACACTGACAGAAAAGACGCGCACATAGAACCCGCACCTCCGCCGAGTGGCCAGCCCTGCCCCGCCTCTCCGCGCATGCGCCCCTCGGAGTGCCCCCGCCCGCCTGGACTAGTCCACTGTCCGAGGCTAAGGGGGACACAGTGCTGATTCACCGAGGCTCGGCGGGGACAGCAAACAACGAGGGCTGCAATAAAGGAGTCGAGGAACAGGATAACTTTATCTACCTGGCCCTGTACCTGAGCAGAGCGACGACTGGGCGCTCGAAGCGTTTCCCATTGGGCGCGCCCACAGCCGCGACCCCCACACACCTGGGGCAGTGCAGAGGCCTGGCCCGGTGGGCGGGGCCCGGGCAGCCATTGGCGGCTTCGAAAGCGCCTCGGCGGGAACAGCTGTAGTCGCGGCGGGCGATGTGGAGCAGCGGTAAGGAAGACTTCAGCTGCACGGACTGGGACAGGGAGGGCGGTAGGAGGACTAACAGAGACAGCCCCCAATCCTCTACGGGGACCTTGTCACGGCGCAGTACCGCCGCGGGATCTTGGCCTAGGGGTGAGACTCAACTGAGCATTGAGTCCGGAACAAGAGGGTGGTGATGCTGGTCCCTGGCGTCATATCCGCCCGGAGTGGGGCGGGGCTTTACGGGCCTTCTGGAGTCTGCGCTGCGCTGCACTTGCTCCCGGTCGTCCGGGTCAAGGGTGGCTCTACTTTTAAGCTCAAGGTTCCGGCTGCGCATTGACTCCCTAGTTCTTGCCTTGCGTCTTTACTGTCCGTGCGTCCTGTTGCTTTACTCGTTACGCTCCCTCGCTTCTACGAAATTGTTACTTCACGAGGGTTCTTTTCTGTCACGTGTTCACTCAAGAACTGTGTCTTAGCACCTACTGCGGTGAAGCGCTAGAAAATAGAAATTGAAATAGTTACAGAAGAAAAATTCACTCAAGGGCATGCTAACTTCGCTGATATTTTACGCCCTCTCTGTCATTTCTTCTAGAAATGGCATTCTGCAAGCCACTCAGGATTAAGAATCTTCAGAAGTGCTAGGGAATGTTGTATCTCATCGTTTGGCACCCCACTCTGAGTGCTCTGACTTCGCATAATTTAGCAGTGTCAAGCCTGGTTAGTACTGGGATGGGAGAAATGTCTGCTTTGCTTACACCTTATCAGTGCCCAAGAAAGCCCTCCCAGATGTTCTTCAGGAATGAAGTGTTGGTTTGATAGTGGCAGACTGTTGAACCCAAATTCTTCTCATATGAACACTGCTTAGGGAGAATATCCAGTCCTTCTTCCTTTAGGCATTTGTCAGGTGCATATGAGATGGTTCTTGACTGGATTCCCTGAATGACTTGATTGACAGTCCCTGAAATTGTTAAGAGTCAGACCCTGGAACCTGGCAACCCTAACAAGCTAGGCTCAGTCACCATCCTCTAGGCCAATTAAAAGGACAAATCATAGTGAAAAGCACAGAAAAGAGGTTTATTCAGTGTGAACACACTGGGAAAAACAAAGAGGTCCGGTGACCCACGGCCACGAAGTTCATGTTTGGTGCTCAGACCTGAGACAGAAGTTTAAACAGCAAGCAGAAGGTATTCACAACTAAGCAGTCCTGGTCACAGTGTGGTCCTGCCCATCTCTGAGCCATCGGCCTGGCTTCAGTCTGTCCCGAAGGAGGTCCTGACAAGTTGGCAGAAAAGCGCCTCTGACTGGCACCAGGTGTCAGCCTTTCCTTCTGCCAAGTTTCATCTCTTGGTGTCTGTTGTCTCAAATGGGAGGCAGGCACACAAGTGACTCTCCTCAGAATGACCTTACGCCTGCCAGGATAGTAATATAGTCCCTGTCTTGAGCACAAAAGAAATTATTGTAGATGTGATAAAATAACCACCTGATGGCAGGTGGTTCTGTGAAGACAATAAGCACTGGAAGATTGTTAAATAACTTTTTATTGGATGGATGCAGTAAGTTTCTAGTCAATGGTTGCTGCAAGTACAATGCCCCAGCCCCACCTCAAGGGGCCCTTAATCTTACAGGGACTAAAACACAGTGGAGCTGAAGAGGTGGAGCTGGAGAAGCAGCTCACTTACAGTGTTTGCCTCAAGGAAGGCCCCAGAGTCCTTCCTCAATACACATGCACAAACAAGAGGAAAAGCGGAGGCGGGGGAGTAGGAAGCGAGAAGGAAGCAGGGGCCAGGTAATACATGGTCCTGTAGACCATGCTGAAGGTTTTGGGTTTGGCTATTAAGGAAGAATGGTCCTATAACTGAACAGTACAACCTTAATTCAGCTGGATTTTTTTGTTTGTTTATTTGTTGGTCTGAGACAGGGTTTCCCTGTGTAACAGCCCTGGCTGTCCGAAACTCACTCTGTAGACCAGGCTGGCCTTGAACTCACAGCGATCTGCTTGCCTCTGTTTCCCAAGTGCTAGGATTAAAGGCATGTGCCACCCCCACCTGGCTATGATTTATCAACTATTTTTTCATCTGAAACCATGCTATGGTTTGCAGTGCCTTTTTAAAATACAGTCAACAGACTGGGGATGTGGTTCAGTTGGTAGAATGCTTCCCTGACATGCAATAAGCCCTGGGTTCATCTCCCAAACCACGTGAAACCTGACATGGTAGCCCACACCTGTAATACCAGTACCTGAGAGATGGAGGCAGGAAGATCAGAAGTTCAGAGCTCCCCTATGATACATGAGACTTTGTCTCAAAAGATAAACATAAGGAGCTAGAGAGTAGCTCCTTACTGCTCTTTCAGACTACCTGGGTAGGCTCCCAGCAGCCACATGAAGGGCTTAAAACCCTGTAACTCCAGCTCCAGGGACCTTGACACCTTGTCTAGATGGGGTACCAGCACACCCATGGCGTAACGGCGTAAATAAATAATAAAGTACAGTCACTTGCGTATCAGTAGCAGCAAGTTATACACAGTGTTCAAGAAGCTCTGAACATCAAGAAGATGTCAGTCACAGCCAGGACTCTTGTGGAGAATAGTCCTCCATTTATTCTTAGTAATTCTAGGGTTGTGGGGGACCCGATGAGAATGACAGACCTGCTTTCATCTTAATCTGTGTGTCCCATTCTAAAGACAAGCTGTTCAAGGAAATTAAAGTTTATACAGGCTTTATTTAGTCTTCACTTTGAAATTGTGCTTGTTTGCTTGGTATAGTAGCACAGGTCTTTAATCTCAGACGTGGGAGGCAGGTAGATCTCTGAATTTGAGGCTAGCCTGGTCTACATAGTGAGTTCCACAACAGCCAGAGTCACGTAGTGAGATCTGGGGGAGGGGGTGCTTACTTGCATTTTACCTCCTGTGTCAGCATTACAATTCAGGAACAGTAGACTTAGCTGTACCCTTTGAAGGCTCTGAAGAGAGCGATAAAGGCTCAGATCTCCCTTCCCTGCACCACAGTTTTTATGCTCCTGAGGGTCACCTGTTGTTGAGGGAGCTATCCCCTGTTCAGGGCTCAGGACTGCGTAGGCACTGGAAGACTCTTTACCAGCAGACACAGAAGGACAGTAAGATAGAATTGGCAGTGCCCTGAAGCATAAAAACAAGACACTACGGTTGTCCACACTTTCTTCTAGATTCATGTTGCATAGAGAATCTGCCACTAGCTAAAATATTCCATGAAAAAATTCCAGAAATAAGTTTTTTTGTTTGGTTGGTTTTTGGTTTTTTTAGTTTCTCTGTGTAGCATTGGCTGTCTTGGAACTTGCTTTGTAAACCAGGCTGGCCCCAAACTCATAGAGATCCACCCACCTTTCCCAAATGCTGGGATTAAAGGCATGCACTGCTACTACACAACTCAGAAATAAGTTTCTAAGTAACTGCTATATATCATAGTATGGCAGAGGACATTGTTGCAGGACCATGTGCGAGGAGCAAGCTATATAGGCAGAAGAGGAGTGGTCAGATGGCTGGAGGAAGCCAGAAAGCTAGTGGGAAAGCCATATACACCGTGGTTTTTATTTGCCGAGACAGTACAACACTAGATAGTCCTATGCAGCATCCTGTGTTTGTCCTTCTGAATGCCAAGTTTATATGCCTGTATCACATGACTGGATTAACATATCCTGCCCACCTTGTGAGAGTGTGTGTGTGTGTGTGTGTGTGTGTGTGTGTGTGTGTGTGTGTGTGTGTGTGGTTGTGTGAGTTCTTGGGTATACAAGTGAGTGTGTGTATTTATGCTTGTGTGCGCATATGTGGGTGTGAGAGTGTGTCTGTTCCAGAGGTAGACACTCACACACTCACTATCTTCCTTAGTCACTTTCCACATTTGAGGCAGTCTCTCACTTAGTCTTCAGCTCACCAATTGTGCTAGACTGCCTGGCCCTTGCTGTTCTTCTGGAAGACCCAAGTTCAATTCCCAACACCCACATCAGGTGGCTCATAACCAGCTGTAACTTCAGCTCCAGGGAATCTAACACCTCTAGACTCCTCGGACACCCACATTTATGTATAGAGACACATATTAAAAACAAAATAGATACCTATATTTTTTTAGTGGTTCAAGATCACCCTCAGCCACATACTGAGTGTGAGCCCAGCCTAGGCTACATGAGACCATGTGCCAGTGCAGCTTAAAGAGTGATTAAATTCTGCGTTCCCAAACATGCAGACTGTTAGAAAAGGTAAGCATCGAGTGTCTGACCTAACAAACCCTGGGTTACGTAAGACACTGAACAATTCATCTGCAGTTTCTGTTAATGCATTACTGTGCTCTTCTTGTTCTATCGCAGGGCCAAAGAGATGGATGAGAATGTTGCTGAGTTTCTCCGAAGGAGCATCTTGAAAATCCCCTTGGGTGAGATGAAGACCATCCTAAGTGCCTGGAACTTTTTATCTGAAGACCAACTGCAGACTGTAAACTTGCGGCAGAGAAAGGAATTTCTAGCCCAGGAAATAATTCTGATGTGTGAGGTAAAGGTGTTCAAAATTATCAACCAAGTAAATTAATGCAATAGAATAAAGTTAGACCAATATGTACACATGACTAATGTTTTGGTTTGTTTTTAAGCAAAGCTACCAAAAAAAAAAAAAAAAAACAATTCTGAGGAGGAAGAACAATCTTTCCAACAGATGGGCTAAAATAGTTGGATGCTTGTATGCCAAAACACCTTTGCTGGTTCAGGTGCTGCATCTGTTGAGTCCCAGAACTATGGAAGCCAAGGCAGGGACAGCTAGGGTTCAGGTAAAGCCAGGCCTGCATAGTGAATTCAGGGTCAGCTGCATAAAAAGACTGTCTCAGGAAGAAAAAAGACAAGTTTAGTCCATCCCCCCTACTGTTTAAAAAAAAAACTCAAAATAGATCCAAGACCCAAATGTAATACTTAAGCCATAAACTATGTAGGAACAACAAGAGAAAAATCTTTGTATCATTGGACTAGGGAAAGTTTCTTTGAGCACCAAAAAGGTGGTTCATAAAAGAAAAAACAATTGATAAACTAGTAGAATTGATCAATTTTTTCCTTTGTAAACTTAAGAAAACCCACAGACTGATAAAAACTATTTCCAAACCCTGATCTGTAAGGTTTGGATCTGCAGCTAAAATACGTTAGAAAGTTGCTCAGTAATAAGAAAAGAAGATCTTAGACAGCTCAGTGGCTAAGAACACCTGCTGCTTTTCCAGAATACCTGATTCCATTCCCAGCACCAACAGAGCATCTCACAACCATCTGTAACTCCAGTCCCATGAGATCTTAAACCCTCTTCCAGCTACCAGGGCACCAGGCACACACATGCTGCACAGACATGCATGCAGGCAAAACACACATACACATTAAAAATATTTCTTAACACATAAAAGATTTGATCAGACGCTTTCCCCAGAAACCTTACAGATGGCAAACAAGCATATGAAGAAGTAGTGTTCAGAATCACTAGTTATCAGATAAGTGTAATGAAAGACACAAAATATGGTCATTAGGATTGGCAAGGCTGATCATAACTATTAGGAATAGATGGGATTTTTTTTCTGGTGCTGGACACTGGACCTAGGGCGTGGTGCATGCTAAGCAAAGGTTGTCTGCTGAGCTGTTTGTACTTCAAGCCCAACATTTATTTTGTATTTTAGTGTTTGGGATTGAAGCCAGGGTCCCAAATACACTGAGTAAGTGCTCAACAAGATACATTTTCCAGAGCCGGGCGTTGGTGGCGCACGCCTTTAATCCCAGCACTCAGGAGGCAGAGGCAGGCGGATCTCTGTGAGTTCGAGACGAGCCTGGACTACCAAGCGAGTTCCAGGACAGCCGCCAAAGCCACAGAGAAACCCTGTCTCGAAAAACCAAAAAAAAAAAAAAAAAAAAAAAGATACATTTTCCAGCCCTTGACAGTTTGTCTAAAAGTCTAAATATTTGCCATCATAGATTGAGACAGTCCACTGCCGGGCATTTGCTCAAGAGAAATGAAAACACATTCCAAATTCATATCCACAGAAAGACACGTATATTAGTACAGTGTTCATCATAGCTAAAACCTAGAAACAAGTTGTTACTAGCGGTAAAAAAGAATTGAACTATAGATGCAAAAATATGGCTAAGTGTCAAAATAATTATGCTGAGTAAAGGAAGCCAGATCAAAAAAGAATCCAACCTTATGTTAACATTCATATAAAACTAGGAACTACAAATGTTGTGACAGAAGGAAGATCTGTAGCTGCCTCAGCACCAAGGACTGGGAGGAAGAGAAGTGGGGACAGAAAAGGATTTGAGAGTGAAAGGCACAAGGAGATGGTGCATGCAGATTGCTGGGTGTGTGCACCACATTGACATAACCGGTTTATGGCCACATCTGAAATTTGTACATATATTGTCTTGCTTGTGACTGTGATAAAATACCCTGATAAAAGCAACTTCAGCAAGAGTTTGTTTTGGCTCACATTCCTGGGGATTCAATCCATCAGCTCACTAGTCAGACTGCATGGACACCCAGTAACAGGAAGTATGGCCAAGCCCCAGAACCTCATGGTACCACTACAAGTGAGCTGCTTCCTCCAATGAGGCTCCACCCTCCACCAAACAGCACCACCTGCTGGTGGGGAAGTACTCACCATGTGCACCTGTGGGGACATTTTACATGCAAACCACTGTATGATGTATGCTCAAGAGTGGTGTTTGTTTTCAGACAGAGTCTCACTCTATAGTCCTGTCTGACCTCAAACTCATTTGCAATCCTTCTGCCTCTGCTTCCCAGGTTCTAGGATTACAGCTGTGAACCACCATACTTGACTTTTTAGTGTTTTAAAACTCTGACAGTTAAGTGATAAATGTGGAGTGAGTTTCAGGAGAATGTGAACCTAGGAAGAAGTGGAGCTGTGACTGTTGGCTAGCAGGAGAATGTAGATTAGAGATAGATTATCAAAACAGTACTTCAGGCATACTAATAGAATGTCCTGACTGGCCCTAAAATAGGCTGGAGAGGATTAGCAGCCGACCTACTGCCTCATTTCCTAATCAGTTCACCCTCTCTTTCAGGAGAAGTGTGCAAGTGTTGATGACATGGCCCTTTTAGACATCGTGTGTAAGTTTTGGGGATTTGTCTTTACACATTGGAGCTATACATAAAACCAGTCAATCAATGATCTGCTGCCAGGCCCATTGCCTTGAACAGAAATAGGGGCCAGTAACTGGGGATATGCAGATCCAGGAAAGGAAAAGATGCACACACTTCTAAGTCCTACTATACAACACTAACCGTAAGTCCTTCTCTCTCAGATACTCAAGTTCATCGGCACCAGAAGCTTTGGAATGTCTTTGAGATGAGTAAAGAGCCAGGTAATGTTTTCCACTTTAAAATGAACATCTGAATTTGATGTTTTGGCAATTTAAAAATGAGGAGCAAATGTGGTCTTTTTGTTGGGGAGGGGTTGTTTTGTTGTTTCTGAGTCATTGTATCCCTGTGTAGCATAGGTGGCCTTGAACTCACTATGTAGCCTAGCCTGGCCTTGAATTCACTGGGTAGACAAAGCTGGTCTTGAGCTTATGGTGGTTTTCCTGCCTTTGCCTCCAGAACAGTGGTTCTTAACCTGTGGGTCAAGATCACTTTGTGGGGTCAAATGACCCTTTCCCAAGGGTTGTATAAGACAATTAAGAACTGCAGATATTTACAGTATGATTCATAACAGTGGAAAAATTACAGTTATGAAGTAGCAATGTGAATAAGTTCTTAGTTGGGATTCGCCACAACAGGAGGAACTGTATTAAGGGGTGTGGCATCAGGAAGGCTGAGAACCTCTGCTCTAGAGTGATGAGGAGACAGGGATGTGCTTCCATACCCAGCCTAGCCGTCTGCTCTCTCAGGCTTCTTTGGAAAAATATGACTATTGCTCATATATATCCCCTGGCACTTGGCGGGGAGGTGGCCATTACTGCTCTGGGATACACAGTCAAAGACTCTGTAGCTCCCTTAACCTCTTTTTATCTCTCTGCACTTTGACAGGAGAAGATGTTGACCTTTTTGACATGAAACAGTTCCAAAGTTCCTTTAAGAAAATTCTTCAGAGAGCATTAAAAAATGTAAGAAAATAGTCCTCTTGGATTTCTGTGAAATTCAGTTTAGTAATATCTAGGGAGGGGGAGAGGATAATATGCTATTACTTTAACAAACTGAAATATTATAAAAACTTGTATCTCTTGCCTGCCCATCCCACACAGTACTTTTTAGGAGTAGTGGTGTCCCCTGGAACTCTGCCATGGCAGAAGCATCCTCTGCTGACAATGTCCACATGAGGACTTGATAGGTGGCTGATGTGACTGAGCAAATGAATCTTTGAACTTACTTAATGAATTCCCATCAGAGGGTCCATATGTGGCTAGTAGCTCTGGTATTGGTCAACAGTCACTTTTGCTTTTGCAATGGGAAGTGAAGACATCCAGAGTAAGACCCTCAGCTGTTACAGCCAGTAGGGAACACAGAGCCCTAGAGGACAACAAGCTCTCTTCTGCTTACCATTCTGCAAACCCACAGCCCAGACAGTGAGAGTGCCTCCTCATTGTACCAGGGGATCAGGGAAAGCAGCTGAGTGCAGAGTGGCAGAGGTTGCTCTGAGCTAGCAGACAGCTTACCCACCTGCTTTTCCTGGAGTAAGATCCCAGAGGGAGAAGACTGCAAGCCAGCTGGCCCTCTCTTCAGGTTCTACTTTCTTGGGTCAGGGCCCAAAGAGAAGGTGGACTGGACTAGCTGATGACCTAGCAGTGGCTACTAAATCCCAAAGCAAGTGCAGTCATAGCTGCAGGTTTAGAAAGACTGATGGCTGGGTGTGACATGGATACCACACAGAACCTCATGTGCTGCCACATTCCTAAGTGGCTCTAGCTGCTGAGACGTGTGGAAAATGTCAGGATCAGTGTACTCTGAGCTCATTGTCACATAGAAATCCTGCTGTCAACTTCAGGGCACAAACCAAGTGTACTATCCAGCAATACTAGAAAGGCTTCGTAGAAAAAACACTGCTCCCCTTTTGTTTGCTTTGCTTTTGAGACAAGCTCTCACTATGCAGCCCTAGCTGGCTAGCACTCATGAAGATCCTGCCTGTCTTTGCCTCCCAAGACTGGGGATAAAGGTGTGCCCAGCCAAATAGATCATTAAGGATGCTTGTGAGCCACCCTGTTGGTGCTAGGAACCAAATCGTGAGCCTCTTCAAAAGCGGCAAGTGCTCTTAACCTGTGAGCTGTCTCTCCAGCCTGATTTGAAGTTGTTTTAAGGGATTCTCTTTCCTCAGAAAAACTTTGTAAGCTGCAAATATATCTTTTTTTTCTTCTTTTGGTTTGTTTCTTTGTTTTATTTTTGAGACAGGGTTTCTCTGTGCAGCTTTGGAGCCTGTCCTGGAACTCAGTCTGTAGGCCAGGCTGGTCTTGAACTCACAGAAATCCACCTGCCTCTGCCTCCCGAGTGCTAGGATTAAAGGTGTGTGCCACCACCCAGCTATATCTTTATAAACTAATCATAAAATGTTTTCTCAAGAGTCCCAAAACACTGTCGAAGAAAGTAGAAAGAGCCAGTGTGACGGGTCAGCTGGTAGTTACTTGCTGCCTAGCCTGATGACTGAGTTGGATCCCTGGCACACATGTGAGGGAAGGAGAGAACTGGCTCCTGCAAGATGCACTCGGATCTCCACATGTGTGCCGTGGCAAGTGTGTGCCCTCACATACACTTATAAATAAATGCAGCTTTTAAGTAGGAAAAGACTGTCCGCTGTCCACACACATGAAAAATTACAGTAACATTGCTTGTGTCTCAGGTACCTATAGTTGGTGCCTTGATGAGATTTAACCAGGAGGCTTACATCTTTTCTTTGTAAGGTTACTGTCAGCTTCAAAGTCGATGGGAAGAATGCCGTGTGGATTCGGATTGCCTGGGGAACACAGTATTCACAGCCAAACCAATACAAACCCACTTTTGTGGTGTATTATCCCCAGACTCCATATGCCTTCATTTCCTCCTGCCGTCTGAAGAGCACTGTACCCCTGCTCCATCAGGTAGGGAACAGATTACCAAGCTGGAGTACTTGGTACCCTTATCTCAAAGGTCCACATAGGTATAAATGCCAATAAGTTGTAGTGTAAAGTAACCTAGTTTCCATTCTTCTAAGGCAAGGATCAAAGAGCTTTCTTTTCTTTTCTTTTCTTTTTTTTTTTTTTTGGTGTTGTTGTTTGTTTGGTTTTGGTTTTGGTTGGGTTTGTTTGTTTGTTTTGTTTTGTTTTTCAAGACAGGGTTTCTCTGTGTAGCTTTGTAGACCAGGCTGACCTCAAACTCACAGAAATACACCTGCCTCCACCTCCTGAGTGCTGGGATTAAAGACGTGTGCCACCACACAGCAGAGAGCTTTCTTACCTGCAATGGAAATGTGACAGAAGGAATTAGCTTGGACTAGTTTTTTTGTTTGTTGGTTTGTTTGTTTTTTAATGTAAAGGTAATGCATGCTTAATATAAAAACAAATGCAACCAGTTCAGAAGTTTCTAAAGGTAAGAGATGAGTCATCAAAACTCTGCCCCTTCTTCCTACTCCCTTCACCCCAATTAGCTATTGTCAGCTTGCTGTATCCTTCCAAAGCTGTTTTGTCAGGGTCACCAACCATGCTTTTTGTATTTCTATATTCTTATTATTATTAGCAACTTGCTGTTGTGACCACTTTCCACACATAGTGTACACGAAAATACTACCTGTGTCAGAGGTAGCCCCTCTCTTTTTTAAGGGGTCAGCCTTTGTGTCTTGGTGTTTTATTTTTATGGAGAAACACCATGCCAAGATAATTCTTATAAAAGAAAGTATTTCATTGGAGGCTTGCTTACAGTTTCAGGGATATAATACATTATCGTCACGCTGGGAGCATGGCATCACATGTGACACTGGAGTAGTAGCTGAGAAAGAGCTACATCCTGATCTACAGGCAAAGGGCATGAGGGGGAGAACTGGGACATGGGCTTTTAAAACCTCCAGCTCACCCCCAGTGACACAGTGACACACTCGCTAGACCCACCACCTAGAATGTATGCTAGGCCATACTTTCTAATCCTTGCACACATTTCATTCCCTGGTGGAAGCTTTTGAATATATGAGCCTGTGAGAACCCTTCTTATTCAAACCATGTTGGGGAAGTCCTGTGCATTTGTCAATAAAGTACTGTCTGGCCAATGGGGAATCTAGATAGGAGGGACTAGGAGTCCAGGAGGACTCTGGGTAGGAGAAACACAAAGAGTTCAAGATGTAACGCCATGGGGGTAGGAAGCCTGGAACTATTCTCCGGTAAGAGACATACTTAGATTAACAATTATGGGGTAAATACTTAAGTCAGAGGTAGCCAGTAAGAAACAAGCAAGGCCAACAGCTTCATAATTAATACAGCGTCCTGTGTGCTTATTTGGGGACTACAAAGCGGCAGAGCCCAGACGGCTGGCGGGGGATAAACCAAAGCGGCTAGCAAAGATAAAGCTTCTTTTAACAAAACCACACTTGGTATTACAGGTGTCCTAGCTTTTTTCCAAAAAACAATTCATCTCAAATACGTCCCAGTCATTACTACTCCCCCTGTTAGCATCTTCTGTTCTTCCAGAGCTCCAGCGTGAGCTGGGTGCAGGTGAGCTGCTCTCTAGTTGGCTGCATGGTTCCCACATACCTATCTGCTAAAGCCCCACACACTCCATTGTCAGCAGCAGGCCTCGGGGTTCCAAGAGTGAGCAACAGGCCATAGGATTAAATTTCTTCTTAAACTTCTTTTCATCTGGTGCGGGGGCAGGTGTTGTTTTGAGTTGGTGCTCACCCTGCCTCAGCCTCCCCAGGGCTGGGATCCCAGATGTGCACTGAGCCTCCACACAGTGCCTTCTTAATTGTAGTGCCTGCATTTAACTTAGCAAGATGTGCAGACCCAGGTGCAGTCCTAACAGTCTTACTCCTTTCCCTCCAAGGCCCTGAAAGTTGCTACCAAACACCATCAAATCGTGCAGCTGGATCTGAGAAGCCGGCACCTGGACTCGCTCAAGGCTATCGTTTTTAGAGAGTATGATCAGGTGAGCCAGTCAGCAACTCTTTACAGCTGAGTTTCCCTTTACTCTTGTGCACACTGAACAGGTGGAGGGCCACGCACAGCCCTGGAGGTGAGTAGGCGAAACTTTCCGTCATTTCACTTTGTTCATGTTTGTTTTATTCTTTCAGTTTCATACATATATAATGTACTTCGATCATATTGTTCCCATCATCCTCTTAGCCACCTCCCCATCGCCCCGAACCCCTTCTTCCCAACAAGTCCCCTTCCTACTGTCATGGGGCTGGTGAGGGTTCTGTTGAGCCCACTGCATTTAATCAGGGATGCTTGCATGATTATGGATGTGGGGTTATTTTCTTGAGCAAGAGTGCTCCTCATTGAGCTGGGCGGTGGTGGCGCACACCTTTAATCCCAGCACTCCGGAGGCAGAGGCAGGCGGATCTCTGAGTTCGAGGCTGGGCTGGACCGACAGCCTCCAAAACAATACAGAGACACCCTGTCTCATTAAAAAAAAAAAAAAAAAGAGTGCTCCTCATTGGCTACACCACTGAACAATTCCACCTCTCTCCCCCAACAACCATCGAGCTCCTCAGAAAGGGGTGGAGCCTCAGGAACCTTCCTTTATCCAGGATAAAATGATGAAATGTTTGGATGTGGTGTTTCCATTTCCTGACAGGTTTGCCCCTATGGTCTTTTTGTTTTGTTTTGGTTTGGTTTGGTTTGGTTTTGGTTTTTCGAGACAGGGTTTCTCTGTGGCTTTGGAGGCTGTCCTGGAACTACCTCTTGTAGACCAGGCGCCCCTATGGTCTTAAGGTTTCTTCTGTACGTGGCAAATGTTTGCACATGTTCAGGTTCTTTAGGTGGATGGGATTCCTTAAAAGGTTATGCTGTGTGTTATGTCCTAGAAAGATAGAAATGGTGGCTGTCTGCAAGTCATTCTTTAGGGTCCTGCTAGCCACTGTAAACAGTAACCTCTAACAGAGAGCCAAAATAAATGCTTCTTCCCTTTAAAAAAAGAAAGCAATTTTTACTTTTGTTGGTGGTGGTGTTTTAAGATGGGATCTCATGTACCCCAGGCTGGCCTTAAACTCATTACTTAGCTGTCTAACTCCCAAGTGCTGTGATCACAGGCATAAGCTACCATGCTGGCCTTCTAAGAAGTGAGATGATGACCTTCACCCTGACTGCCCCTTCTTTGTCAACCCTCCACCCTCCTGCCAAATAGACATCAACTGCTGGCCTGCAGTTCACCAAAGCATTATTAAGGGAGCTCACTTTGCTAGCCCCCAAATTGGAGAAATGGTCACTCACTCAAGGGAGATGCAATAGAAAGGATGCAAGAAATGTGGACTCATGGTAACAAAGTTGCTTTTCCTAAAAGACCCCTGGGATTTTCCAGGGTATGATGACACAGTGCTAACAGGAAGATGTCAGGCTTGTCTTTCATTCCTCTGGCTTTTGTGTAGCCCCTGCACCTTGAGATGGTTTTGTTTCATGTGGTGCTGAGGATGAACTCAAGACCTCACATATGCTAGGCAGATTGTCTAGCACGGAACTGCATCCTCGGCACAAGGTGCATTGTTACCTCAGGTCCTAAAACAACTGTGCTGCACAGATTGCTGTCCTAAGAGCTAGGCTCAGTTTAGCTAGCCTGCGGCAGAGCCATTGCTTCTTTCTGCTTAGTAGGAATATACAATATAAGACCTCTTTTTTAAAAAGTGAGATTTTCCAGCCACTGGTGGTATACACCTTTAATCCCAGCAGTTGGGAGACAGAGGCAGGTAGATCTCTGAGTTCAAGGCTAGCCTGGTCTACAAAGCAAGTTCCAGGACAGCCAAAGCTACACAAAGAAACTTCATCTCAAAAAAACAAAAATAATGATTTAACATATTTTACATCTTAGAACCAATTAATATCTATATATCCCAACATGTTCACCTTTTCTTTCTCCTCCTAGACCTTTGAAAATCACAACTCTACAGTGCCTCTACAAGAAGGAAGCCTTGGACTAAACATGAGTTGTATGTGTGCTTTAAGACAGTTGGGGCTGGGAAGGGCATCTTTGCCTTTCAGATGGCTGCTACACAATAAAGCAGTTGTGCTTAGGATCTCATTGCAGAGCTGGTTCATACTTCAGGACAATCAAGAATTAAGTCTTTGGAGGCAGAAAGCCAAACTAGCAAGGTGTTCTTCAGAGTTCACAAGAATGGCTCACAGTCACTGAGAGTGCCTTTCACGCCCAGCCCAATACCAGAATACTTGCATGTGATTGTCACTTCAGTGTTCACAGCTGTCCTGTGAAGTGGCACTATCCAATGAGAAACTGGGTTTCAAGAAGGCTTGAACATGGTCACAAAGCTAGGTCTAAGCCCATGTTCTTAGTGAGCCGGGTACACTGATTCTAGAATAATATGGTGGTTGCGTTGCTACTCACTCACAGAGAACCTGAGTCAGTCTCTCCCTAGAAACTCAAGTTAGCAGTGGAAAAGAGAACCCATGTTAGGAACAATGCACATACTCCAGAGGCATAAGGCCTGCTGTGGGTCCCATGTTAAGTAAAGAAACTTGATACAGAATTACTCATAGTAACTACAGAAAGTGTATTAGAGCCTAGACAGTGTGGTGGCACTATAGGTATCTCTTACTCCCTTTAGTCAGCCTGTGCTTTCCAGCTGTTCTGGGTAATGACTTTATTTTAATAAAAAGAAGGGACAGGAAACATCTGAGCTACACAAATCCTCTGCAAGTTTAGGAATGAAAGAACACTGTATGGGGTGAAGTGTATTCCTAATGGCAGTCTCACTCCAAACTCTCATCCACAGTGGATTCAAACATCATTCATGAAAACATGGAAGAAAAAGAAAGAATCCACAGAGTCACTCAGGACACGTTTGGAGCCTATCCCCAGCCACAGCTGGAATTTGCACAGTATAAGGTAGGATGGTACAGTGAACATCACCTGTAAGTTAGCGAATCTTTTTTTTTTTTTTTTTTTACAGAAACCTTAACTGGGAAACATATCCAAAAACTATTCCTTTTTCATTTATCACTTCAGCTTTATGTAACAAATTGTAAGTCACTTCGATCTTTTCATTGTATTTGTAAGTTCTCTTTTTAGCAAAGTAGACACCCTGAAATTTTGCCTTTGCATTTTGTCTTTGTAGTAATTCAGTTGTATATTGCTAGTTGGGGGGAGCCAGGAGGACTATACCATACTAGCCTATGCATACCTAGAACAGTATTTGGCATATAGTAAATGCTCATAAATACATGAATGAATGAGCTGGGTATGGCAGCACACACCTATATAGTTCCAGCACTTAGGAGGCTGAGACAAGAAGATCTCACAAGGCTACTTAGCAAGTTGGTGGCAAATCTTCCTGGCTGACTCAGAAGCACAGAAACAAGAAGAGAGAAAGCACCAGCACTACCTAGCCCCACTGGCATCAGATGGAGAAAAATCAGTAGTACAAATGTACTGAAAATTAAACTTGTTCCAAAGGGTTACTGCTGCCCACCAAGTGCCCAAATAGGAGTACAGGAGTTTAAGCCCATGGTCACCATTAGAAGAACTCCATTATATGTCATAGTTGCCCTAACATGAGCCCCAGTTAAATTGTTTCCATTTAATCTTCTTACAGCTACAGGACACATTAATAATCTGCCATTTCTCTGCCCACTTAGGCCCAAAGGTTGTTTGGTTTGATTTGTTTTTAAAGGAAGACATTGATGTTTTTTACCTTGTTTTTGGAGATTTTATGTTTGATAATGTGTGTGTACACACAGCTTTGCTCAGTGTCAGTGTCAGATATCTTTTGGCCTTGTTCTTTCAGACAATGTCTGTCACTGAGCCTAGAGCTCTTTTGTGTCTGGTCTGGCTACAGGGAGCCCCAGCTTCCTCCTGTCTCTGCCTTCCTCCTAAGTATGTGTGCTGGGGTTACACATACATGCCACCACACCTGGCTTTTACATGGGTGCTGGAGACCCAAACTCCGGTCCAAATGCTCAAGCAACAAGCACTTTACCCACTGAGCCATCTTCCCAGCCTGCTTGTTTGTTTTTCAGACAAGGTCTTATAGCTAGGCCAGGCTCAAATTCACTGTGTAGATAAGGCTAGCTTGAACTTCAGGCCCTCCCACTTCCTCCCTGTCACAAGTGTGGCCTCCATGCTTAGCTGTGTTGTATTAACTGAGCACCTTTAAAGATCTCCTCATGTAGGACAGTAGCTCTTAGGGTGTGGTCTCTGAACTGGTAGAACCAGTTATGTGAGAATGGGGGGGAGGGAGCATAGATCTTAGCTTAGTCCTATCCCTTCTGAGTCAGGGCAGGGTGTGTCTGTCCATCTCTTTCTGCAAACTGTCTGCTGCTCTGGGCTCCACACACACTTAAGCTTGAGAGCCACTGGTTCAGGAGATAGTTTGCTTGCTCAACATCTTAGAGTGGTTGTGTTCTGATAGTCTAGATGTGCACTCACTCACACCTGATTTTCTCCAGCCTCAGGAAATGGCCAGAATGTTATACTGAATGCCACTTGTGCACTTTAGCTAGCCAATGGCTACATTTGCCATGTCTTCTTTCTTTCTCTTTAAGAATAATTTGAACTCATTGCAGACATTAAGTATTGCATAGATATACTTCAGAGTTTTAAGAATTACTAGCATTTTTTTGTCTTTAAAACATGAGCATTGTAGGAGGCACAGGCAGAAGAATCACTCTAAGTTCAAAGTAGTTGGTCTATCCAGGGTCCTGGGCCACAGTAAGGCACTGCTTCCAAAAAGAAAAGGAAAACCTAGGGTCACATGCTATGATACTTAAGTATCTGATGATGTTGAAGAATTATTGGTGTTTTATGGCCATAGCTCAGAAGTAGAGTGCTGTCCTAGTCACTGTTCTATTGTTGTGAGGAGATACTGTGACCAAGGAAACCCTAGAAAGACCTTTCATTGGAGGCTTGCTTATAGTTCCAGAAGTTTAACCCATTATCCTCACAGTGGTGAGCATAGCAGCGTGCAGACAGGTACTAAAGCAGTAGCTGAGAGGGCAGCACAGGTCTTCTACAGGTCAGGTGCTACCCTGGCACAGTGCTGACACTCAGCCTTGCCTGTGGGTCAGTCCCGTGCTCAGAGCAGTGCTGACACTCTGTTAGATGTCTTTCCTATAATAGATGCTTTCTCTCTTTGCAGTTAGCAAGTTAAATGAGCTCTGCCTGTATCAATCCAAGTATTTCTTGAAGGCAGGAATTATTGAAATACATAAATTGTTCATTATCTCTCACCATCCTAGCTGATACCAGTACTTAACCATCATTTGTAAACATTTTTTGACAGCTGGAGACCAAATTCAAGAGTGACATCAGTGGGGGCATCTTGGCTGACAGGAAAGAACCCCTACGGTGCCTTATAAAGTTCTCAAGCCCACACCTTTTGGAAGCATTGAAATCCTTAGCACCAGCTGGTGAGTGGTCAGCGAATCTCACCTGCCAGGCAGCTGCTTTCGATTCTCAGTAGATAACTAGCTGGTCACCTCTGAACCTTCCTGCCTCTCTAGTCTGCTGCCCACCAAGCCCTGTTTTGCTTCTGCGCTTGCTAGGGGCTAGGAGAAGGTGCCCATAATTTGCTTCTGATCTTGCCCATTTTTAAACTGATCCTCCCCATGACCATTCTGATGTTTTTTTTTCTTTTTGTTTCTTCAGGTATAGCAGATGCACCGCTTTCTCCGCTGCTCACCTGTATACCAAAAAAGAAAATGAATTATTTTAAAATTAGAGATAAATGAGACAGATGTGGCTTTGCTTATATTATACTTGCAGTTCTAGTTATGGCTGGCTGGCTTCTGTGTATAATCCTGTGTTTTAGAAATCAGTCCTTGGCATTGGAAATTCAATGCTTTAATGTAAGTATTGGGACTAAATATGTCCTCCCTATGTCCTGTCTTCTAAGTACAGCAGCTGGGAGTACTTGAGAAGTGCTCTCTCTCTCTCTCTCTCTCTCTCTCTCTCTCACACACACACACACACACACACACACACACACACACACACACACACACACACACACACGAGAGGCTTCGGTTGACCTTAACACTGGGATGCTCAGAAGTCAAGCCTATGACACAGTGGCTGATCCTGCTGGCATCACATCTACTTTATCCCACTCCTTCTTATCCTAGGAGGTCTAGTCTCAGTTGCAATTTTTTCTGAAATTTCTAAAACTACGCAGCCCAGAACTTGTAGGAGAGTCAGAGGGAAGAGCTGGGTACATTAAGCTACTACAGAGACCGCATATCTGATGGCTTGTTTCTGTAAAATAGCTGTTCTGTTGTATATATGTGGAACATTCAAACTGAACTTCACCGTTATACTGATTTATGAATAAAGATATTGGCAAACTGGCACATCAGTTGCTTTGGATGAAATCAAACAGGCTGAGCAGAGTGTATAAACACAGCATGAAATGCTTTATAATGTGATGTATCTGACTGGGTCATCCAGTATGATAAACTGTTTATTTTTACATGTAATGTGATCAAATGTCTCAGGCACTTCCCATGCCCCTCAGTGATTAGAAGATATTGGGCTTTGTGCTGGCTACTTCTGTCAATGTGGCCAGCTAGAGTTATCTGAAGAGGGCACCTCAGGTAAGAAAATACCTCCATAAGATCCGGCTGTAGGGCATTTTCTTAATTAATGATTGATAGGGGAGGGCCCAGCCCACCATGGGTGATACCATTCCTGGGCTGGTGGTCCTGGGTTCTGTAAGAAAACAGACTGAACAAGCCAGGGGAAGAGAGTCGGTAACCAACACCCCTCCATGGCCTCTGTATCAGCTCCTGCCTCCAAAATCCTGATCCTGTTTGAATTGCTGTCCTGACTTCCTTCAGTGTTGAACTACAGTGTGGAAGTATAAGCCAGATAAACCCTTTCCTCCCCAACTTTTTGGTCATGGTGTTTCATCACAGCAATAGGAACCCTGACTAAGACAATCTCAAAGATGCTAGCTCCCTCTATACATACCTTTATAAAGATTTTAGGATTTAACCAGTCAGTGGTGGCACACACCTTAATCCCAGCACTTAGGAGGCAGAGGCATATGGATCTCTGAGTTCAGGCCAGCCTAGTCTACAGAGTGAGTTCCAGGACAGCGAGGACTGTTACACAGAGAAACCCTGTCTGGCAGGGGGGAGAAAAAAGATTTTAGGATTTTATGTATATGTATTTTGCTGCATCTGTGTATATGAACTGCATTCACGACTGGTGCCCTGAGAGATAAGAGAGCATTGGATCACCTGGAACTGGGGGCATGGATGGTTGTAAGCCCTTGTTGGTACTGGGAATCAAACTTGTCCTTCGTAGGGACAGTAAGGGCTCTCTACCACTGAGCCATCCCGCTGGTCCCACTCCCTTTGATCATTGTCATGACCAGTCACATACTAAGAAGGCATTCTGCCCACAAGGTGCCTGAATGGCCAAATGGAACTGCAGAAGTCCTTTAGCTTCCTGGGGGTAGTCTGCTTCATAGCTCTCCGTGTTACGGCGTTATGGCAGGAATGAAGATCTGGAATCTGAACAAGACCTATCATATTATCTGCCTCTAGTAGTATCATAGCCTGCATCCTGTGGATCTCCCAGAGTGAGGCTCCTGCTTAAAATTCTAGATTTGGGGCTTCTCAAACCTACTAGATACTTGGGGACAGATACTGCAGTAAATGCAAAGCCAAAGACCTTCACAGTCAGAACTGACTCAGTCCCTGTCTTAGTTACTTTCATATTTCAACAAAATAATCCCAGCACTCAAGAGGTAGAAAGAGTCGAGTCTCAGTGAGTTCAAGGCCGACCTGGTCTACAAAGCAAGTTCCAGGACAGCCAGGGCTGTTACACAGAGAAACCCTGTCTCAAAACAAAACAAAAACCATAGTTCCAGAGGATTGGGGTCCATGCCCATCATTAGAGAGGGGATATGGCAACAGGCAGGCAGTCACAATGCTGGGGCAGTAGCTGAGAGCTTACGTGTCCACAATCATGAGGCAAAGAGGAAACTGGGAATGGCATGGGTTTTTGAAACCTTGGATCCTACCCTCAGTGATACACCTCTTCCAACAAGGCCATACCACCTAGTCCTTCCTAAACACTTCCATTCTGAACCAAGTTTTCAAACCACCAGTCCCCCAGATAATAACTGTGCATTGAACGCATGTGGCAAGCACTAACTCTTGTCCACGCTCGTATAAGTGGGCAGCATTCTGACCTTTATGGGATCGCGCAATGTTCAGGACAGTTTTACCTAGTAACCTAGCTGCCTTGAGCCTGTGGCAATCCTGCTGCTTCCTGAGTTCTGTGGTGACAGGTGAGCCACCATCAACAGCTTTACTAACCTTATTTTACTGACATGAATATCCATACAGCTGTCAGTCTTCATAGCCTAAAGTCATGCTGAACAATTCAAACGTGCCTGCATCATGGTCCCTGGAATCTGAGTATGTTTCCAAGGCAAAGGGATCCTGCAGTTGAGCGAAAGGCTCTGTGATACCCAGACAGGTCCAAGGTGATAGGAAATGTGATGACTGAAGATGTTGGCTATGAAACAGATTCAACTCCCTTTACTGATGTGAGTGTAGAGGAAATGCAAATGGCCTCTAAAAACTGGAAAAAGCAGGGTCCCTGGAGCATCAAGTAAGAACCAACCCTGGCCCTCGGGAGACAGAGGCAGGAGGGTCTACAGAGTTCTTGCCTATCATGTACAAGGCCTTCAGTTCCATCTTCAACGCCACAAACCCGGCCCAGTGTAACCCCAGCGCTAGGGAGGTGGAGGTGAGAGAATCGGGAATTCAGGGACCCCTTGACTATATGGGGAGTTGGAGGCCAGTCTGGGCTACATGAGGCTGTCTCAAAAATAAAATGTGTGCTTTGTCCTTTTTTATTTTCAGTGCTGCAGATCAAACCCAAGGCTTTTAACATGCTAGGCAAATGGTCTACAATATAAAGCTAACTCATAATAATAATAATAAAACAACAACCAAAAAAATAAAACTAAAAGCACCCCTTTTTCTTCTATCCAGCTATTGCCTTAGCTAGGTAGGGTCCATGGAACCCATCCAGTTCACCTGTTCCCTCCGCTGATTGATGCGACTCCGTTACGCGCTCTCCGCGACCGGCTGGGGGCGCTACAGCGGCCACCCGGCCGGATGCTAATGAGCCCGGCGGCCCCGCCCCCTGCCGGAAGTGGCTGCGGCGGGGGCGGGCACTGAGAGAGGGGCCTGGCGGCCGTGCGGGAGCCATGGCGGCCACGGAGGCGGCGGCGGCTGGGTCCGCGGCCCCGGCCCCGGGTGTTCCGGCCCTGCCGGCGAGCCCGCGGGGAGCCGCCGCCGCCTCGGGGTCGTGGGGGCCGTCGGAGCCGCGGCTTCAAGGCAGCCGACCGCGACCGGCCAGGGCTCGGGCCGCGGTCCCGGTGCCACCCGCCCGGGAGCTGATCCAGCCGTCTGTGAGCGAGCTGTCCCGAGCTGTACGCACCAATATTCTGTGCACTGTGCGCGGCTGCGGCAAGATACTGCCTAACAGTCCTGCGCTCAACATGCACCTAGTCAAGAGCCACCGACTGCAGGTGAGCGGGCCGCGGCGGGGGGCGAGGGGTGTGCGGAGTGCCCGGCCACCTGCGCCTGGCCGTGCACGGAGGGAACGCGAGAGCACGGGGCGCGCACACGCACCGGGCCAGCCGCTTCTCGGTGGCGTGCCCACAAAACCCCAGCCAGCTGCCTATTATCCGAGTCCCTTGGATGAGCGACAGGTGATGCCACCAAGGCACCCGGGTGCAACCCCTCGGGCTTTCCACCCCTCACACGAAACCGCCCTTGGGTCCTACCCGGTCATTCAAAAGCAGCTGCAGGTTGGGCTCTAGGCACTTGAGCTACAAGTTTCACTGTAAGATCACAGAAGATCAACTCTCCACAGGAATGAGAGGGGAGGGGAGGCTTCTCTGTGGATCGTTAGGAGGAGGTCCATCGGTAGATAACATGACAGTTGTCTGAGCAAGACCTCCCCGTGTTACGTAAAAGGAGACAGTGACTTTCAAACCAGTGGTATATTCTGGAACCTTGGTAAAAATCAGATGTTGGGACCCCACATCAGACCGGTAAAAGACACGGATGGCACCGCAGCATTTACAAAAGGAAGCTTCCTTCCACCATCAGGTATCTATGCCAGCCATGTGTTGTAACTGGAAGGCATCAGTCTCTAAAAGCAGATTTGAGGGTCGAATCAGAGGATTGCAGACTCTGTCTGACCTTCAGGTAAATCCACTTCAGGCACTTCCCATGAGCACTGATGAGCAGCAACTCTTGAGTTTTAGTCTGTGTATACTTGAGGGGTGACCCGCCTTTACTTAGCAGCTGCACTCGGGGGACAGTGATCTCATAGAAAGGTCCATATGGAAATGTCAGCGGGCGCATGCTGAGGAAGTTCTGTGCAACAGTTTGGGCACAAAAGTATAGCTCACCATGGGCTCCTATCTGCAGTTTCCTCTTTCATCCTAAATGTTAGTGAAACCCTCCCTTTTCTCACAGGCTGTTTAGGTGAAAAGTGAGTGTGTAAGAATTCTACAACCATAACCTGCCTTCAGTATTGTCTCCGTGCCGATAGCTTCGTTCATGTCTTGTACAGTCCTGGCTATTCTCAGACTCACTGTGTAGCTGAAGATGACCTTGAACTTTTAATCCTCCTGCCTCCACCTCTCATGCTGAGATTGCCGGCGTGCACCGTCATACCCAGTTTTATTCAATTTGGGGAACAAACCCAGAACTTCATGAATGCTAGGCAAGCGCTCTCCTGAGCAACATCCCCAGCCTCAGGTGGTATGCTTCTGACTCTAGCCAGCATTTCTTAGCAAGTCACTCGTTCTTTTCTCTGGAGCACTGTACCCCTCAAAACTGTGTGATGCCTTCAAAGCCCAAAGATGCCACTGACCATGGAAAACTAGTTTCATGATGTACAGTAGACACTTTCTGATTATGTTTTTTTAAGAGCCCAAAGCTCAGGAATACACAAGTGGCCAGACATAACATGTGATAATAGGAATTTGTCTGAGCCAATACATTTGGTTTCATATGGTTCGGGTCTGAGCCAATACAGGTTCAGGTCTGAGGCAGGGTTTTCTACGTAGCCCTGGCTGGGCTGAACTCACTAGGTAGACCAGGGTAACCTTAAACTTGCTGGGGATGATCCTGCCTCTGCTTCCCAAGTGCTGGGACTACAGCATGCACCACCATGCCCTACTCTAGCAGATATGGAGGTCAACAGTCAGATCTTCACTCGGATTTGAGCATGTCAGAGTCCTGGTGTCCTGTCTGGCCTAGACCCTGTGTGAAATCATGCTTTCCAGAATCGTCATTTATTTTTCAGATTTCTTATATCTGGAGATAGCAGTAAATGGGCTGGTCCCTTCCAGAACCCAGATATTGAGCAACAGAAAGATGGCCCGCATAGCAGTATATAAACTCCTTCAGAACTGTGGCTGCTAGTTCCTTATCAGACAGCTCACTTCCCTGTAACCTCTACCTTGGTCACCTCAGGGCCTACAGCCCCTCGGCATATGTTGTCTGATGTAAAGGGGGTCCATTTTTTTTTCTAATGAAGGGGCCTGTGTGATGTAACCATACCTATGTGGTAAGGCCTCAGGTAATAACTATGTGTCCTCTTAGGCTGACCACTACCCATATTCTCTTCAGTTCAATTCTTGACATGTTATTCTCAAAGTATTATTAGGGAAGAGAAAGGTGTGGCATTGAGACAAATGTGGTATTGTTCCCCAAAGGCCCTATGTGTTTTGGGGAGAGAATGATTGATCATTTAGGTGAGTGTATCCCCTTCCTGCTCTAACAATACTCTGAGACTGCCTGATTGGCTGACTTTTTTTAATTAGATTTTTTTAAACATTATGTGTGACTGTGTGTTGATATATGCACAAGTATGGGTGCCCTTGGAGTCCAGAGAGGACATTGACTCCCCTGGAGCTGGAGTTACAGCTGGTTATGAGCCACCTTAGCTGATGTGAGTGCTAGGAACTGAATTTGGGTCCCCAGCAAGAACAGTACACAGTCTCGGCCGCTCTTTGCCATTTCCCCAGCCCCATGCTGGCTGACTTCAACTCAGTGGAAATTTTCATTGTCTTGGCTACAGCTACTTGTGTGATTCTAATTTCTTTCCTTGTTATTCTGTTTTCCCAGCCACGATAATCTTCTATTCCTTCCCCCATTAGTTGTATGGTTATTTTATTTTTATCTACCCCCAACTGAATACCTAACTTCTGAAGGAAGGTGAATAAAATGGAGGAACTGTAAGCCACCTTTGGTTTTATGTAGGTTCTCAAAATAAATGTCTGTATTTCACGCCCTGAAAGAAATCTGGACATGTCATCAGCCAGCTGTGCCTGCAGTGGGCTCAGCAGAGAAAGGGAGCAATGATGCTTTGGAGTGAGAGCTAAAATGATCCGGAGGAAGAGTGGGAGGAAGCAGGCTCTGCCTGGCTGCTGGAGATGTATTCCTTGGAAAGCAGGGAAGGGGCAGGTGGGACTTACAGAGCAGCATTCATGTCTGAAAGCCTAGCTTAGTGGGTTCTGCATTCTGTTCCATCCAGGGGTGTATTTTCAGTGATTTCCTACGAAGTTATTTTAGAGAGGAAAGAAAGGCTGTGGTGGGTTGCTCTGTAAACCATAGTGTACGAAGATTACTGACTCTCAGTTTAGAATAGATAAGAAGCAGACTGGGCTCCTTGGTGTTTTCTGTAAGAGTGGTAAGGTGCTAGGCACTTTCTACCACATCTTTTTTAAAATTTTATGGGCATTGGTGTTTTTGCCTGCATGTATGTCTGTATGAGTGTGTCGGATCCCCTGGAACTGAAGTTATAGTTGTGAGCTGTCATGTGGGTGCTGGGGATTGAACCTGGGTCATCTGGAAGAACAGCCAGTGCTTTCAACTGCTGAGTCCATCTGCTTTCGTCTTTATGGTCTTCTCCTTTCTTCTCCTCTTCAGCCATGTCCCTCCTTGCCCTCCTTTTTCTGCTCTTTGTTTTTATTTGTGTGTGTGTGTGTGTATGTGTGTGGTAAAGTTGTGGGTGCTTAGAGAGGCCAGAACCTAGCACAGGGTCCTCTGGAGCTGGAGGGGGACCCAGGTCATTGTAGCTGCCAGTTGCCACGTGGGTGCTGGAAAGAGAGCTCTGCAAAAGCAGGTGCTCGTAACCACTGAGCTGTCTCTCCAGCCCTCCTCTTCATTTGTGTAGTTTCCAGTCTTGGTTTGGGGGTTTGTTCTGTGGTGCTGAAGATGGAACCTGGGGCTTCACTCCTGCTGGCAAGTGCTTTCACTGAGCTACACCCTTGGCTCCCACCATCTTGTTTGGGACTGCCCTTTTCCTTTGTAAACTCTTAGGATATTAAAATATTTAATTATCTTTTATTTAATATTAACATTAGATGAAATATTCCCAAATTTCCATCTGAGAAAGGAGTGCTTGGTTGGGAGCAGAGCATCCTGAGGACAAAGTAGAACAAGGGAGCCAGCAGCAGTGGGGAGGAGAGTAAAAGCAGAATGGTAGAGTGTGGACTTTGTTTTCAGCTATACACACAGACTGGCAAGTGGCTGTGACTGCATAGAGGACTGCATGTAATTGCTTTCCTACTGTGATTCCTGTTGTAGTCTGCCATTGTATCTCCTCTCCCTAGCCGACCTTTGAACTCACTGTCTCAGAATGCAAGTGCAAAGAAACCCCCACGTTCTATGGATATATGTGTGGGAACGTGTATGACGGTGGTTCCTGTGGCTCGGGGTTTTTAGCATCCACTTGCACAAGTTTTGAGGCCTCATCTCTACAGAAAGTGCAGTTCCGGCTTGGGCAAGCCAAATGAACAACCAGTCTAATACACAAGCTCATTTGTATTGAACACTTACTGGGTTCACAATACTCCCGGAGCCACCAGAGAACATAAATGAAGAGGCTGGGAAATTAAAATTACAGGCTGAGCAACTGAAATGCCCCCAAATCCAGAACTCTTGGAGCACCAACATGAAGCTCAAAACCTTCAGATTGGGAGCATTTGGAGGTTTTCAGCTAGGGACACTCAGCCAGGAAAGTCTATGCAAATATTTGAATCACAGAGTCAGCTCTGGTCCCAAGCACTTGGTAAAGAGTAGTTCAGTCTGAGTTCCATCAGGTGTGACACAAGAAAGGGTAGGGACTCTGGGTACCCCAGGCTGGTAGAGTCTGGACATGGGTGGTGTTGGGAAGCTGTTGAAAGTGATCTGAACAAGGTATTGCCTGGTTGAAGGTAAGTTTGTTAAAATATTAATGTGAGCTGGGCAGTGGTGGCACACGCCTTTAATCCTAGTCTTCAAACGGCAAAGGCAGGTGGATCTCTTAGTTCGAGGCTAGGCTGGTATACAGAGTAAATTCTAGGACAGCTAAGACTGTTACACAGAGAAACCCTGACTCAGAAAAAAAATTAATCTGGGGGCAAAGTATTTTAATGTTTTTCAATTAATTAAAAATATTGGGGCTGGAGAAATGGCTCAGTGGTAAAGAGCACTGGCTGTTCTTCCAGAGGTTGAGTTCAATTCC